AGGAAAGGAAAGGAAAGGAAAGGAAAGGAAAGGCAAGGAAAGGCAAGGAAAGGCAAGGAAAGGCAAGGAAAGGCAAGGAAAGAAAAAAGGTTGGATAGCTCAGCAGAGGGAAAAGATTCATCTTGTCAAAGTAAAGTGCCAGACTAGATACCAAAAAAACCAGAGAAAACAAGTATGCTTCTCTAAGGAGGGAATCCATTTCTTCATACCATGGACTGATTAGGTTATTGAGGCATATGCAATACAAGCTAATCCTCCAGGAACAATCAGGGCCAATGAACTAGTCCTGCGCTTTTTCTCATCCCTGAAGCCACCTGTGCCTCTAAGGAAGGTTCTGAATCAAGGAAGACCCCCAAATTACATTGGGGTGCAACCCCATCCAGAACAAGCCATTCTCCCAGTTTCCAGACTAGAGAGGCCCCTATTCCCAGCACTTCCCCTCCATGGGGGGGTTCAGCCTCAGTTAATTGGCCTTATCCGAGCCACGGCTGCCTTCAAGCCTGCCTCGGCCTCGTACAGCTTTCCCTGATTTAGGACGCTTCCACAAGACACTTTCCACCTCCCAGCGTCCCACTAACCAGGCAGTTGAAAGCCGACCGCGATCGCCTTTATTTCGGCCAGCCCTGAAATCAACCACGGAATTTTTATGAACTCAAGGATGAGCGGCTGGCTCTTCCACTCAGATCCTACGATGACTCAGTTGATGATGCCGTTGAAACGAACCAGAAAGGCGCCAATTCTACGTCCCTTTTGGAGGAAGCCTTGATTTTGGCTCTATCGTGTCCTGCATATCTCCTTACATACGCCATGCGGATGTAGAACCTTTTAACTTTCTAGCCCTTCGTCCCTTCAACCTGTTCTCGGCTTGCGACCCTGTCCTCTGACTCTTCATGGCTGCGCCGCAGAACTTCAAAGTGCCTTCGATTTTGAAGATCGCCTTTGGGTTGGGGCTCGGGGAGGCCCCCCCCTCCCCCCTCCCTCCCTGACTTCGGTCCCCGCGAGGACCAGGGGGCTGCTGCTTTCTCCTCCTTTCCCCCCAGAGCCATTGCAGCTCCGCCGGCGGACAGACGGGAGGACACAATAGCCGTAGAGGAGGAGAAGCGGAGGCAAGAGGGAGACTCCTCCTTCTGGCCCGCCTTGCTTTCCCTCGGCCGGGTAGCAACGCTCCGAGATTCACCCACCTTCCCCCCCTCCCCAGCCTCCCCCGGCGCGCCCCGTCCAGTTTTCTTTCCAAC